ATAATAATAATAATAATATAATGACTATGATAATGATGGTAATGATAATGAAAATGGGTTTAATAGTCAACAATAGCTCTGATAATGATGATGGTGGTAATGGAAATGATATTGATTGAAATTAAAGATGATAATAATGATAGAAACATATTAATAATAATTACAACAATCTTAACAAAAATTCATATGAATGACCACGCACACATACTGGTACTATGCTCTCTAGATTAAGGCTAACAAATAAGGAGACATTCATACTTTCCCAGCATAACCTATGCTTCATATATGTAGACATCACATTCTCATAAGAGAGCTATGTAAATGGAAGACTTTCCAAAAGGCGTTCATGAGTCTAGCATTGAGTGTATTTGTGTCCTGAAAGATAATTAGACATCTCATTATAATCTGTCTTCAGTGTGGCATATACATTTGAGCAACCTGTCTGTCTGTCTGTCTGTTCGTCTGTCTGTCTGTCTGTCTGTCTGTCTGTCTGTCTGCCTGTCTTGTTTTGTCTCATTCAGCAAAAGACTGTTTTCATGTAAAAGGTCTTCCTCTTTCCCTTACAACTGTTATCTGTTCTGCAAAGTCTAAGTTTAGACAGGTGGGTGGTTGGCGTGTGCTCTGGTGTGGTTAAACCCTTCTTTGCTATGAAACATTTGATGCTCCTATCTCTAAATGTTCTTTACTCTCGATGTTCTTATCTCTCAATGCTCTTATCTCTCCTCCATTTCTTTGTATCTTACTCTCTGGTAACACCTCTAATTTTCAGCACTCATAATACTCTGTTTGTGATGCAAATACTGTAAAACTCTGACTATAATCAAAACTAATCTTCGGCACTGATATCGACTGCTTTGTGTAATACCGGGTGCCCATAGCGGATGGGATCAGGTCGGGTCGGGTAGGGTCGGGTCGATCACCCGACTTGTCATCTGAAAACAAACGCGTTTGTTTTTGAGGTGACGATTCGGCGTGATCGGCTTGTGCCACGATAGCCTCTTTGCGTCCTCAATCAGGCTAGTAAACGACCCGACGCCCAAAGGGCACCCCGTATAAGTAAGACTCTAACTCAACAAGCCATGTTGAAAAGTGACGTGTAAATGACGGGGTCTAGCACTGAGCAGTCGATATGACCTCTTGACCTATTTGTGTCACATCGTGGTGAAATCAGGCGCTCGTCAAAACACATGTAATCAAATAGAAGTCGGCATTTTTCTGCGGGTTTGGCAATTCGTATAATTTTTTTTTCTTGGTTCAACAACTTTTATGTCCATTTAGGAACACATTTCAGAGTGGATTTTTACTGAAAACCATTGGTCAATAAATTTAAATGCACAAAAAAGTAAAATTTGCAACTTTTATGCCCACTTGAGAACACATTTCTGTGTGGATTTTACTGGGGGGGGGAAAACCTTGGTCAAAAACTGAGATTTTGGAAGTCACCGAACTTTGGAGGACACTTTTGGGTAATTAATAATAATTACTTCAAATTTACATCAAATGACTTCAAGCCTCCGTCAATCGCAAGTATCTCGCCTTCTATTCTGGATAGATTGGTCTTTTTTCATCAGAAGCAAGACAAATCGCTCCCCTAGAATTACACAGTTCTATCTGCTCAAAAACTTAGTTCTGAGAAATTTGATGTAAAACACTTTGAGTTTCACAACATGTCAAGCTTCTTTTAATGCAGGTCTTTGAATATCTTGATAACGACTCCGAATAATCTTACGATTTTGATAGTGCTGATAGAACATATTATTTTGGTTTCTGGCCTCATCATAGTCTTATTAGAGTAACTCCAAGTGGCCAAAAATGTCAGATAGAACTTTATGATATATATTAATAAGCAGTTTGCGTGGATTTTTTAAAGTTAGGTCCTATCCACATGGATGCTGTGGGCGCCTGCAAAATTTCAAAGGTGTGGGTTTGTGCAAAAAGCCTCCCAAGTCCACTTTTATAGATAAACAAACCTGGCGGATTTTCTAAAATTACAGAGACAGAAGCGTCGGCCTACAAAAGCGATCGGCGAAATAAAGAAATTTACCTTTTTGCAGCAAAACTGTCTCAAAACTGAAAAAAACCAAAGGCGTCATTATCAGGAGAATATTTTAAAGAATCTTTTGGCGAAAATGGCATGTCGATCGATGTAGCCATTGAAAAGTCTTTTAAATAACAAAATAGATAATGGATGTTCTATTTGTGCTGCAAGCGCAGTAAGTAAAATTCCTACGAAATCTAAACTAGAAAATAAAAGAATGTATTAATGACAAACACAAAAAAACCGAAACAATGACCAAGCGTAAATATGATATCTAGAATTCAATATAACCAAATATTGACGAGCGTGTTTCTGAAATATTCCAGCACGTTCCTATACCGCGACCTCAGTGCTTTCTTGTCGTGTCTCCATTTTCTTAACAGTGAAAATGTGACTTCTTCTTAAGTTTTCACTCTCTGTTATGAGCTGTTTTCACTTTTATTAAAAATGAAGATACGACAAGAAAGCACCGAGGTCGCCATACATTTGTATGAGGCGCTCATATGACCTTATGCAGTTGCGAGCGCTGTAAAACCTCTACTAAAACTTAAAAAGCCCCGAAAATTGAGAACCGCCTGATTCCACCACGTAACGACACACCATCAGCTGTGTTGAGTTGAAAGTGCCGTAAAAAACTGTGACCTAACCTAACCTAACACCAACGCGTGTCTACCAGACGGGCCGAGAATCAGTGTCCCGTCCCGACCCATCATAGTCAACTCAGGTCAACCTTTGACCTTGTCCTGCTCGGTGATCGCCAACCCGAGCGTCTCCGAGCTGTACTGGGTCAAGGACACCACGGGGAGGATTGACCCCTCGTCCGACAGCAGGTACAGTGGGGGCACAATCGCTGTGCCGTCTCTCACCATCGACCCCTCGCATATCGATGACAGCGGCGCTTATAACTGCGTGGCGAGGAACGCTGTGGGGACGAACAGTTCTTCCATTGCTCTGGATGTTGTCAGTAAGTCTATTGTGTTTGGGTGGATTTTTGGTGGTGGTGAAGGAGGAGTTTCAACTTTAGCCCCCACCATCCCACCATCCCCCCAATCCCTCACTTCAACACGCCCCCTGAACAGTTCTTCTTCACCCCCGCACATAGTCACTCTCACACCCCACCCCACACCTCACTCCCACATCCCACCCAACACCCCACTCCCACATACCTGTACACCCCATCCACATACATCTCCACCCCACCTACACACCCCTACACACCTATACACCCTCACCCAGACACACAACCTCACCCACCCTCATTCCACATAACACACACACCCCACTCACCACCTACACACCACCTACACACCACTACACACCTATACACCCCCACCCCGACACACAACCTCACCCATCCCCACACATCCCACATCACACACACACTCCACCCACTCCCCACAGCACACACCCCGCACCCCACCCCACACACCCACAACTCCCCCCC